TGTGTATGTAAGTGTAAGAGTATACATATATACATATATACCTCTACGGATTGGTTTCCAAGTTGTAGTTTATAGGAATGACAGAGACCTGACAAGAGAGTGAATAAGCTCTGTGTCTGAGAATTGAGATCTTGATGAAGCAAAATCACTCCAACGAAAGCTTTTCTCAGACAAACTAACTTGTCCAAGAAATGAACACTAGTAGTGACTGCATTTGAGTTCCATTGGAAAGTTTTGAGATTCGGTGTGTTAATCTTCACAATGCTCTCTTCTGAATATGAATGGAAGCAATTCGTAACCTTAAGACTCTGAATCTTGCTACCAGAAACCTCTAAGCCTTCAAGCTGAAAAGAGTTCTTTAAAGTAAACTCTTGTAGAACACGGCAACTAACCTTAAGTTTCTTGAGTCCTAAGCAATTTTCTAGGGTTAGTTTCTCTAGAAGCGGAAAGCTTGGATCAGAAAAGAAATCTGAGAGAGAAGGTTGGTTGTGTAGAATCACAAGAGATAAAGAGAGTGAAGTAAGTTTCTGAAAACCTCCAATGATCGATGATGAAGGAGGTAATCGAAACCCGGGGTAAGACGATTTAAGCTTCAAAGCTCTTAAGTATTGAGATGTAACAATCCAACGAGGGAAGTTAAAGTAGTCTTTGGTAGTGACATCAACGTCAAGATCTTGAACCTGATGAGTAACAGCTAAACGAATCAATGAATTGAGACTTGTGAAGGTGATCGGAGTGCGAAAACGAAGCGATCTTAGACTGTTGGAATCACGGTATTGGTTACGTAGAGAAAGCACTTGGTAAATGGAGTTAGAAGAGAAAGATGATGGTTTAGGGTTTTCATTAATGGAAGTGAAATCAAGATCAGGTAATGAAAGAAACAGAGATCTCCATCTTTTCGAGAGTGAGCTCGTTTTCGCTGCGGATTTGAGTGGAAGTAAGAGGAGAATCTGATGAAGAAGAGAATCAGGGAGATTACTAATTATGTCTTCTCCTATGAACCCATTTG